ACGTACAAGGACGGGCTGAGCAAGCTATGGCTGTCAGCCTTAAGAAGAGAAGGCTCAGGAGAGACTTTATTGCCATCTATATAGACTTCATCAGGTGATACAGAGAAGATGGAGCCAAGCTCTTCTTGAAGCTGAAGGATGGGAAAAGTTTCCACATGGGAAATTCTGATCAACTGGGGAGAAAAAAATTACCATGAGACCATAGTCAAATATCGGAACTGGGGCCCAGAGGGCCTGTGGGATCTCCATGCATGGAAGTGTTCAAGACTTCACTAGACATGTCCCTGAGCAACTTCATGTAATAAAGTTTGCTTTGAGAAGGTGGTTGGACTAGGCAACCTCCAGAGGAACCTTCCAACCTAAATACTATTATTTTACAAAAGTTTAAAAATGTAAATCCATTGGTTAAAGTATGTATACAACAACTGAAACCAAATACTGGTAGAGCTAATGTGCAACTCTCCAAGAAAAACAAACACATTAGATTGCCACCAAGATGTTTCCTAAGTTAGATGGGGAAAGGCTCCAACAAAACTCCTACGACATTTTAGGCTGTTGGCAGTATTGTATGTCTTTCACATCTGAACACTTTCTATGCACAGTTGCCCAAACAAGTTCTGCTTTTAGCTTTCACTATCAGGAAATCAGAGATCGATAGTGAGGTCATCTGATTTCATATCTTAATATGAGTGGAATGAAGACAACAACCAACTGACAATGTCCTGAAAAGGAAAATCCCCGAGAAGAGTGGTCTTCATTTAGTATCCTTTTACGGTGCAGCGGTACTTATATGACTCTCTTCCATTAATCTCCAGGCATCCCATGAAGAAAGCAGAAGACTGCTGCACAACTTAATGACCTGCTTTGTTGGAAACAGTAGGATAAGCCCGTTTAATTTGTTTGCTCCTATGAGTGAATGATTGACCAACGGATCACCCTCAACAAAGCCCAACAGCAACAACAACAATAATGACTGCACTTTTCTAATCAACAAGGTAAAATAGATTTTAGCATGTGTATTTCTGATTGAGTGATGTCATATTGTTTGTTGACACCCAAATGACACAGTTGGTCTGTATTTCCTCAGCTCTTAACTTGTTTCTGTTTTCCCTGTCAGTTCTAATGCTTTCTCAGCCCTTCCTGCACCAGGAAATCCTGCTTTTTAGCCTTCATTCTCCTGCCTTCGGCACACGCCATGCTTCTTTCTGCGTTGCTTTTAACCTGTTCCGAGATTACAGTTACCCAGGCTGGTTAGCTATTGCATGCTTTGTGTCACAATGACCTTTCCCGAACACTTTTTGCCACCTAAATTTTATTTAATCTAATCCCATTGATTCCTCTTTACGTAGTATACTGACCTGAACGCAACAAGAGGTTGAAGGAGTTTTGGTTTTTGTTTCTTGTTTTTACATCACCTAAATCTCTTTTTCTGTTGCCCTGTTAAAAGCCCTGGCAATACACATCTACAACCCAAGGCAGCGGGTGGTGGAGCAGACATCCAAGGCAGCTCCCCTCACAGCTAGGTAGGAGCTGAACCACCCCAGCTTCTTCACCAGGATTCAAACCGTATGCAGTATCTATGGCACCACTGGGAAAACTCCCACTGCCAGAACGGGATGGCAGCCTGTGCCGCAGCTGATAGCACCGCCCGGTGCTTCTCTGAGGCCCCGGCAGAACGAGTGTGATGAGCATCCTGACAGTACACTGGGGATAAGCACATCTAGAAGGAAGCTGGCCAACATGGGAGCGTTACAGGTGGTCTTGAGAAGCCAGCTCCTACGAGGAATTGGACATGGATGTGGGAGGAAGTGGGGTCAAGAACTGTTGGGGTGTGGGCTATGAGTTAGCATAAAGGATAATTACTTTAACTTAAATTCTGGTATGTTTTGTTTCTTGTATTGGAAGAATGAAGGACTCATTAAGTCATATTTCTGTATTTTTTCCTATATTTGCAGAATAAAAAAAGAGAAAATTCTGCCTACTAATGCCTACACAATGCTATAGGCACAACAAATAAACAGTAGGACATTGGAACCCTCCTTGCCCTTTATCTTGGCTACAGAATAGATTGCAGTGAAGAATCATTTTTATTTTTCACACATTAATCATGTTTGTGGTTTGAAACATCCCAGGCAAATACTGTCCTTAGGATTCAAAATACTTCCAAAGGAAATGCCTCCGTCCTTCTGTACAGGGGCAGCAGAAGTTTTAACAGCTTCTGCCCTTGCGAAGCAAACTGAACTGTGCAAGAGGTAGCAAATCATCATCCTGTAACATGTCAGCATCGTATAAGGGTTGTGCTTTGTAATAAAAATGTGCACAATACCACCAAGACAGTTAATTCGTTTTCCTGTTGGTGACTTAAACACCAAAGCAGCGGCCTTGTGTAAAGCACTGTCTTGTTAGCCTAAGTGTCTAAATTGTACTGTATTGAGTTGTTCTCAGCAAACATATACTGCTTGTAAAATACAATCTGCAAAGAATACACCCTTCCCATAAATTCACCTTTACCGCTGTGCTTTTCTTCTCCTCACATTTGATGCTTAAAAACTGAGCTTGCCTTTCTGCTCAAATAGCAGACTTTTAGCAAAGTTATTCTGCAACCAGGGCTTTGACTGAAGGAAGAAGTCTGTGCAGGAAGTTTTTATGGCTCTATACCTCCAACTACAGCACTTGCTACTTCTGGTGACAGAAGAGATGATAAAGACACAGGTCTTCTATTTATTCCCCTCCTCACCCTAATTTAAGAGCTCTTTCTCTGTCAACTACTTGTCTCTGCCAACAGTGAATCACACAAAAACTTCCTTGGGATATATAGATCGTATCTGCACAGGAGCGTTGGCACTCAAGCACCTCTGCAGCAGGCTCATTTCACTGCAAAGCTAGCTCTGAATAAAAAATAACTTTTTATTTCACAGTCCTTCTAAGAATAAAAGATAACAAAGCATTTGCATAGAAATAAAATTGGGGGCATGCGCGCCATATTAAATGTGTCCTGAGGACTTGCCCTTATTTAAAGGTGTCCAACTTGGCTTCTGGAAACTGCCCACCGAGTGTGATCACTGCCTCACTCCCCACGCAGGACTGACACAGGAGATCTGCTCTGTAAGGCACAACTCGTGCTGATCTGCAGAACACTAGCGAGAAATGGTACAGGGACTGTGCTCATAGACACCTATTGTACATATATATACACATATGTGTGTGGGCATATCTATTTATATGTACACACACCCATACAGCCCTTCATGCACGCAGGTAACAACAGCATAACTATACATGTACACATGAACAATTAACAGAAAACACAAACACCTCCAAGTGCCCCTACCTTGGCCTAAGGTGTACGGTGATACCCCCACATCGTGCCATAATGAACACCACAAAAATAGGGCAGTAAAATCCAGTAAGGTCAAGACCATCAAAAAAAGTAACTAGTCTTGTCATTGTCCATCACTGAGGTACTCCAAAAGGTAACCATGCAATAAGCAGTCTTAAAAAAATAATTTTGTATATGAGAGAACTGCGTGTTAGAGAAAAAATGTTTCAGCTGAGGATGCTTATTTTCCTGGTGATGTAAACATACAAAAAAATTGTTGCTAGCAAAGCCTGGGGAAGACAAACCGCAGCTTTGCGCATGGTAAGGAAGTACCACAAGCCAGCAGCACCACCTGGTGTTCTCTGCAACCCCCCGGAGAAGAGCTTGGCCCCTACTCGGAGCTGAGCCCTAACAGCAAGGTCCAGTTCTGTAAACCCCGACCTCTTTCACCCATTGTGTGCCATAGAGGTGTATGAAGCATGATGGAAAAATCTGTGGCCGGTTTATGTTTAAACGGTATGCTCAAGACAGCTTGGTTTGCATGGTTACAATTATTAAATCAACGGCATCAGAAGTCAATAGCCCCAAAACATACAGGAAGCAAAGATCTCCAACCCTTAGCTTTGGACATGACTAATAAAACCCGCGCGCAGTAGGATGTATCAGTTTAAGCACAGCCATCAATGGACATGTGTGTTTTGCCCTGTCTCCCCTTGAGTACGTGCAGAATTAGCTCACTTGCTGGCAGAGTGCCTTGGGTAAGGCTGTGTCTGCCCGCAGGGTCCCATTCAGACATACCCTCAGGCCTTCCTCTCTCTCAGCCAGCTCCGACAACAAGCCTGAGGCACTTTTCGAAATTTCCCTGTCAAACTCCTCCTACTTCTGGAACAATATTTTCCTTGTCTGTGAAACTAAGATTGCATTTTGCAACTTGCGATGCTACCTTTGATGGGAAGTCCTGCTTAAAAACTAAATCAGAACCTTGGATAAAAAATAAATAAACACTTTTTTCAATGTACATTACAATAAATATGCATGGGTATTTACAAAGAGTAATTGGTCCTTGTGTTTAAAGATAGCTGGATTCCTTTGTGACCCAGAGAGGGAGAAAGGTACCTGATATTCAATTCAATTTTTCTCTTGCCACTTTCTCAGCAAGTAATAGCATGTAGGTCTACATCAGGCAAATACTCCAGACATAAATAAGCTTATTCACAAGCAAATATGTTTGTTCAGAAGTCATTATGTTCCTTCACACATGAATACTCAAGCCAAAAAGGCAGGAACTTAGATGCAAACGCACCTAAGTATGGATATATAAATACATGCCTGCGGCTACAACAGGGCTCTTGCAGCTGGTCCTGCAAAAGATAACCGAGTACATTCTAAAAACACCCAACCTTAAAAGATACTCCACTTCAGTTGTGAGTTTTGAAATGATTTGTAAGTCAGTGCTCTGCAATAGCTTTTAAACCATGCAAAAGACTGATAGCTGGGAAAAGGCAAACCCAACTCTCAGTCACCTCTATAGCCCCAGGATCCCGATACACCCTTGCTTAGGGTGAACAAATGGCAGGAAAGAAAGCAGTAAGGAGAACACCAGGCACCGAGTATCTGCAAACGCCCTGTTTCAGCCCCGCAAGTCAGTGCTGCTCATCTACGGTCGCTCTGTGGGACTTACGGTGGGGTAGGGGTGTGAGCAGAAGACAGTGTATTTCCGAATGATGCCGTTCAGCTTGAGGGGAGGGAGCCAGGAGACGAAGACGATGGAGGCCGAAGCCGCAGCTGCTTTAACACCGGCAGGAGGACCTGGAACTGCAAAATCAAGATGTGTTAGAGTGGCCCAAGGCAGGCACTTGGTCATCCTAGTGTAACAGAGGAGTAAAAAGGAAAAGAGGAGCATGCCACTTTGGTAACCATGCCCCTGTGGACCGAGACAGATGCCCTGAGTTAGGAAGCAGCCTCTGTGCTGCCCATGCCAGGGGAGAGGGTTTGGAGGGCTGTGCCCCATCCCTAAGAGGGGAGAGGATCTGCTTTAGAGAGCCCCAAAGCAGAAGCTGCCACTGATGGTGAAACTTTTGTGAAGTATCACCCCCAGCCTACATGCATGAAAATACGCTGGCTGTGGCCAGTGAAATTGCCAAATGACACGTTATTATAAATGGTCAATTTTGAGCCCATAACTTCTGCCAAATTATTATTCACTGTATAAATAATACAGATGTGAACAGTTTAATGGACATACATGGTAGAGCTGTGAACTTAATGAAGTGGTGAGCAAATGAGCTGTAGTCCCACGCAATTAGCGCTGCCTGACGTGACCCAGGTCTAGGTAGTGGGGTGACGTGAGAGTAGACCTATGGCCGCACAGTGTCCTTATCCCCAGCCTTGTCCCCAGCAGTTCAGACCTCTGTCTGGCTCTGCAGAACGTGAACTCGCATCTATTTCTCTAATTACAGCAGCTATCTATATAAGCCATCGAAAACTCTCATAGAGAAAAAGAAAAAAAACACCCCCTCCTCTCTAAAACCACATGGAAAAAACTTCAGCCAGGAAATGCTAAATTCTTGGTACACAACCTTAACTGTATCTCTTCGCATGCTTGCATTTTAAGAAAGGCTTTAATTTCATGAGCAGATGTTATTTTTCAAACACATTACACTGTACAATGTCCTCCAACTTTGGAAACACTCTTACACTAATGTGAAAAAATTCCTGCATGCTACAATATCACATTAGATATAAGCTTGTACTTAAAATAGCAAGGGCTACATTTAACATCAGAATGAATTGTTTTAAACTTTCCTGGAAAAAACACCTTTTGCCAACAGGAAAATACTTTAAAATATTTTTAAATCAATCAAAATAAATATTTTGACATATATTTTAATACTGATTGTGGTGACCATTCATGTTGAATTATTAAAATAGACACATTGGATTGTAAATTACTACATATGGTATCAAAGACAAAATGAAACTTGATGGACTCTGTTCTCTACAGAACTTTTAGTTCATGAGGAATCTAATACTTCTGTCTAATTTCAAGCAAAACAACCAAAATGTTAGAATTTCCAGTAAAATTACCATTGCAATCCTTGACCAGCTTGCTTTACTTTCACAGAAAACAGTTATTGTGCAATACAGATGGAAAAACCTTTGTTCGGCAAGCTGATCTTCATAGCTGGATCCTTAATCTCTGTTCTACTGCATTTAAGTAAATAGATATCATGGTGGTACAAAACTTTGCCTATAAGGAGAAGCGAGGCAGCCTGGGTTCAAAATTTGCTTAGCTTTGTGGCTAGCTACTTCAGGTTATAAAAAGCATGTAAGGAGAACTTTAATTTTGTATCTGTACAGGTACTACTGGAAGATGTAAGAAAACTGACAGATAGGCACTACTCAGTGCAACATTTCCGAATATGCATTTTCTATTTATAGTGTGTTGGGAGAGCTAATAAGGCATCAAGTGAGAATGTCATGATTATAATTGCATGCAAACCCAGCCCCTTGCTGCAAAGGGGCTAATTCAGTTAGCAGCTCTATCCAATGCAGAGTAAATATTGATGCTTGACAGCATTCAACTTGTTATTTATACCCAGCTTATTAGAAATGCTATTTGCTCCTGCCACTGAAGAGTGAAAGCTAGCTCTCCGGGGTAATTACTTAACCCATAGGAGGATTCCTTTATGGTTAGTAATGTTTTCTGGAAATCACTGCAAATAGATGTATGAGGTTAAAGTAATTTATTGTTAAATTAGAGTGTGATCTATAGGGACAGGTTCTGACAGTAATTGGTCATGGCTGTCAGCAGTTGAGGGATTAACTCAGAATTCATCTAGCATTTTCCAGTCAATGGACATATGTGGAAAACATTACTTGTCATTGCACTGCTCTATTACTGTTTGCTATACAGACCAGCAGAAAGAGGGGCTAGAAAGAAAGTCGGGAAGCCATATAGTCAAATTTCTAAGCCAAGGACCATTCCACCTCGGTGCGGAGGGTTTGGAATGAGGCAACAGTTCTTGCAGCGGTGCCAAAGTATTCTGAATGTTCATTTATTACTCCTCTTTTCGCTACACTGTCTTTGTTTGCTGGGCTGTGCATGTGGAAACGACTATGTGTGGAGCAGTGTTTACATTTCCTTAGCAAGAATTCTGCAGACTGTCATCTGATGCCTTACAGACCACCACTGTCCGCTGTCCAGAGGGTAAAGTCATTGTTCAAACTCATCCCCTGGACCTAAACAACATTATTATGAGTTAGCTCAGCATCAGCTCAAACATTTCTTACTAAACATGGGTTCCCTGAGTATCTGAAGAAGCCGTGGTGGGGCAATGCGGTGCCTGCCTTATCTTGGAGAGGAAAGACCCCAGTCTTGTTATGCTGATGTAAGGTATTTTCTCTCACGGCTGCTGCATCCCACAGCCTTACTGGCTTCAGTCATTATGAGACAGCAGTATCAAGAGACCTGGGCTGTCTTATTGAATTCTCCACAGATCTTCATTTAGCACGCTGATTCCCACAGATCCCAGCAAGCACAAGCTAAACGTGTACAACAGCACAGTTTCTTTTTTCCATGGTCACCAGGGCTAAAATAACGATAAGAAGTCAGAGGACAACCTGAGCACAGAGAAGCTGAGGACTGCTTCCAGCCAACACTGCAACCTTCCAGGGACCAGATTTGGCAAATTTAAGATCAAAGATGGCCTCATTCTCCAGCTAGCAAGGCTTTGAAAGACACGGAAATAGCATGCTGCTTTCCTGTGGAGGAGAACCCTTTATATTCTTGACAGTGCAAGTGAAATGTTAACGCAGAGAAGGCAATTATACTGAGACAACTAGTTCGGGAAACAGCATTTAGATGTGCCAGATGATGGGGAGGAGCTCCAGGAACTTTCTCATTCTCCTTTTCATAAGCAGAGAGATTATCACCATTTTTCTTCAGAGTACTGAACAGCACGGAGGCAAATGCACAGAGCGCGGTGCGTTTGAGAACGATATCACCAATATATCAGAAAACTGAACCCTGCTTTGTAACAGGTTTTTAATTCTGCACTACACAGGACTATCCTATTGACTGTTACATTTATGAAAAACAAACCAAAATAAACTCCTGACTGCTGCCAGTAGTGCCTTTGTTCTGTAGATATCCCGCTTATACTTATCTCCAATTCAGACCTACACTAGCCAAAATACATTCACATGTGCTGTCCACCCCTCATTCACTCTGAACTGCCCTTATATTAATCACGCCATTTTATCAAATCCTGCCAGTTTCACAAGAGGAACATTTATTATTCTGTACCTTTTTTTGTTAGTCAAAGAGATAAAATTGGAGAACTCTGACAGTAGCAAAAAATGCGTTAAGGGGTCATTAAGGGCAATTTTCCATCATAGCCCCCAGGTGATGAACTGCACAGCCATTCTCATCAGCTGAACGAGCCCAAGCAGAGCTCTGCTCCAAAGAATACTGAACGCACGCTTGATTGGATTTACGCTTATTCATTTTAGAATAAATATAAAGCTTTGTCAGATGATATCTGTACATCCATCTCTCTCATACCAATTGCCAGGAAAGCTTGGTGCCCAGAGAGAGAAAGGAGAGGAGGAAAAACCTCTCTGGCTTCAGGCAGAGCCTTACAATGAGGCTGGCAAAGGGGTTTAGCGTAATTCCTCCTTTCTCCCCGCAGCGAGTCCCTGCTGCTCCCTTCCCGCAGCTCTCCCCTTGCTCTGAACGCTGACGTCTCCGGCAGAGGAGAGCTGGAAGGACAGCACTGCTGCACCCAGCAGTCTTCGGTGATGCACAACCAGCTTTCTGTGCATTAAGAATGTATTTTCCTCAAATGAAACGGATACGAGACAGAAACACACCTCCTCCTGCAGCACAAGAAAGCCCAGGAGCAACCTCTGCCAGACACTCGGTAAAAAGCAGCTGTGCCAGGCCGCATTGCCAGCTGCGGGAAGCTGTCCCTGGGAGGGGGCTCTGGGGGCTGCGTCCCCCGCTGCCCAGTTCTGCCCAAGGTCAGAGGCGCTGGTCCGGCCGAGGTGCTGTGTCCTGTGTCGGGCTTGGATGGGGAGCAAATTCATTGTCTCAACTATAATTTTCTCATATTGCATTTGCAGGGCAGAAATGGGGAGGGAATTTGTCACCCCCGCCCCCATTGCTACAAAATGGGGTAGTTTTTGAAAGCCTACTTTGAACACAGCAAGGAAGAGAATTTGAAGAACTACTTTAATTTTTAATGATTTAGTAAATTAAGTCCTCAGGTGAAGAGGACAAGCAGCTTATTAGAAACTGCAAAGCGGGAAAGTGTAGAGGACATAACCTCAATGAATTCTTAAAAATTGGACATTTCTCCTTGGCTTATTTTTCTGCCAGGAGGAACTTCAGGAAGAGCAGTTTCTTTTTCTGAAGACTAATGGGGGAAAAAAAGCTAGATAACACCCATAAATCTGATCACATTGAAAGGAAAGCTCATTTCCTATTATTTGCTAGAGCTGTTCTCATTTCCTAAGCTGATCAGCAGCACTGTCTGACCTCTGGTGTCTAAAATCAGTATCAAACATTACAAGAAATCGAAGCATCACCTCGTTTCATCCAGGCTGACTGCTTCACTCCCTGGGTTATTCTTATTTTGCCACATTGGAGATTTCACGCCTGCTAAATAGATTTTGCCCTGATGACTCTAGCTGAACACCAACGACAGAGAAGTCACAGGAGGCCACGATCTCCCCTTCCACAGCAGCAGTGGAACACACCGAACCATTGATTTTACAAAGAAAAGTTCCCCTCATGCAAAAGAAATGAAAAAAGAATAAGGAATTAATGGAATGATATGGCTTTATAGTAATAACGATGTGGAGGTCTTGGCAGCCACTTAAAAATATTGTAGATTTACAGATTTTATTAGAGGAGGGTGGAGTATCTTGTGTCGTCATTTTAGCAGAGAAGGTCTGGGAGCAGAGATACAAGGTTTCCAGAGCTAAGCTCTGTTAAGATTGCTATTATTTTTATTTCACATGCTCAGAGAGTGTTCAAACTAGCTTTCGGGCAGGGTCTTTTAGGTGCACTGAAATTAGTCCTACTGAATAATCCTCTACAGGAGACTGTTCCTTAGAAAATTGTAGAAGAAATGCCCATTCTTCTGAGGAACGAGGCAGCTGTTCGAGGCACATAGCTTGGCAATGCGAATGCTCTTTTCCCATTTAACTTCCACAGCCTTAAGGATGTTTAGACCCAGGACTCTGGTTTTGGCTTATGTTTAACTGGAGGCCTTTATACACTCCACTCTAAACCTTTGCTGCCCTTAATAAAAAGTTGTGAAGCTGAAGCAAAACATGAAATCAATGTATCTTCTGGAACACCTTTCAGTTTAGTTTTCTGGACAAAAGATTTAATGAGTGGAACCACTGTGAGGCATCAGAAAACATGTGAAAAGGTTAGTCGCGCTGCCTCGGGGTGAATTATTGCTGAGCTGCCAGGAGGATTAAAGATGAGAGATGAGCCTTTGCAGAGCAGCCAAACACAGCCTGAGTCTATGTGCTTCCCACATCTCAGGGCATCTCTGATCTCAGAAACAGAGACAGTAAAAGAGCCACCAAGAATCAGGGAGAAGCAAACTAGGAAGAGGTGGGTTAAGGAAAAAAAAAAAATTGGGGGTTTGTGGTGTTTCAGAGCTGTTGCAAACTGGAGACAGGTCACAGGAGATGGAGGGTGAGGAAGCAATGGGCACATAACCTTTCAGATGGGAAATACTGTTATAAAGCAGCAAGTTATCCATCGCTCTCCCTGGCCAGCAGGGTAGAGGGAAGTACTCAGCCCACTTTGCAGCAAAAGAGATTGCATTATGGTGGATCCTGAACTGGTACAGGGTACTTAGGGAGGCTATGGCATCCTCATCACCGCAAATTTTGGAGAAAAGGTTAGTAAATATCAGCCATGGCTGAGATGTATCTGATCCTCTTTAGAGCAGGGGAACGGTCTTGGTGAGGTGACAGCAACCTTTCAGGAGTAGTTCACCATGTTTTTGTTGCCCTCAGTGAGAGACAGAGGTACTGCTGGCACCACGTCTGCCATCTGATCAGTTCCAAGAGCTGAAGGAACTTCACAGAGACAAGATGCTATCTGCACCCAGGCAAGTTTTGGTAGCTTGCAGCTCCCATCAAGTTTTTAACTCAACAGAAACCAGTGCATGGCATTTCCAAACAGCTGTTTGGGACTTCTCTGGCATATGTGCCATGAAGTGTTGACCCAGGATCCAGGGGTTGTCTCTACAGGTTGGCTTTGCAGCGATTTCTGGAAGAATGCTCCTTATTGTCCCTCGACATTGGACTGGCTGGCCAATTTGGCCCATAAGGCAGCAGTCTGCAATGTTGCTCAAAGGCATAGACCACCAAGCACATTCATGCTCTCCTCAGGGGTTCTCCGACATGAACTGTACCTCCCCAAGACCGGCCTGTCCCTAAGCTCCTAGAGCAGTGTGGGACAATCCTCCTGTCTGCTGGTGGCTTAAGTCCCCGTCCCAAGGCTCTGGGGTGAAAGCCTTTGTGTTCAGAGAATATTCAGGGAAAAGTTGCCATGCTGGAATCTACTTGACAAAAAGTAACTTGAAAATGCAGCAGGTGGTCTTACAGTTCTCTTATTTTTTACATTTTTCTTTGAAATAAAATCATCTACCTCCAAGCACGGCGTGTCTCAAGAGCATCTGACTTAGGACTTAGGTGCTCCAAAGCAGTTGTTAAAGGACTTTAGGGTGGGATCAGAATGACCTAGCAGCCAGTGTTTAAGACACACAAGTCTATAGCTGAGCAAATTGTCCTTGGTGGTTTCAGACGAGGTGCGGTACCTCGAGACAGTTTTAAACAGCCATTATCACAAGCTGATGCAGAATCTCAGTGATATCTACATCTAGCAGGACCAGGAATTAGACCTACATTAAACAACAATCCTATATGCCTAAATTCCCTCTTATTTCTCAGCTATGAGACACTCACTTAGTGTTTTGCTGTTAAGTCAACTTTGGTCAAAGTAATGGAAAGTATTAAGCACATGAAAATAGAACAAGGAGCAAATAACTCATTTGATAATGCAGGAGAAAATTTTAAAGGTCTAATTTTCATTTATACTGCATCCCCTGGATACAGCTACAGTTGGGGTCAGGTGACTTTACAATGTATGTAAATTTTAGAATGAGTCCCTTAAGATTTTATTGGAAAAAATTACTATCATTTATCAAGTCATTTTTTCATTGGCAAAAATCCGCCAAACATTCATCAAGTCAGTTAATCTCCTGAACCTACTCTCTTGGCACTTTTGTAAATTTCATTACAAATAAAAAAATTGAAAAATATATTCATATATTCATGAATGACCAGTAAACTGGATAAGTAATAAAGAAAAACCCATTAACTAGTTTCCTTGAAAAAACATAGTATAACTCACAGGAGAATTTACCTATCAAACATTATTCAAGTAACTTCATTGGGAGGACTGTGTGAATTTTTATTTCTGCCAAAAAATTATTGATCCAAATTTTCAAAAGTGTTTAGGGATCTAAAGGTGTATTTGTACATCTCGTGGAGTTTTCAAGGCATTAAACAGGTTAGGGACCAAACTCCCCCTGAACTGGAAATTCTAGTCCTTGAGAAATAGAGCAGTATGTGGCATCCTACCGATGAAACCTGAAGTGATATCCACAGTTAAAGTTACAAGAAAGTGGTTATGAAATCTCACGTGTATGTGTCCGTGTGTGATTAGAAGTTTCTTAAACTTTCAGCGTTAGGACTTAAATTTTCCATGTTTTGGTCTATGAACAAAGGCAAGAGATTTTTGTTCTTCATTTTGCTTTTGAGGGAACAGGTGTTTGGAGGAATTTTTTTATATATATACAAAAAAAAAAAGTATCTTAGAAGTATGTAACTTATATAAGATCACCCCAGAACAGTCTCTCTTCCTTTCCTCATTTTCAATCACTTTGAAAGAATTAACTCAAGTCCTCTTAAAATTCTCAAACAAGTTCTTGAAGTACTTGAAGGAAAAAAAAAAAAGGACAAACTTGCTCAGACCATTAGTGTTATCTACAAACTTCTGGCTCACCTGAACTGGAGCCTTAGAAGCAGTCAGATTGTTTTCAAACCTTTGGGTGCATACTCCTCTCCTCTCCGTGCGTTCCCAACTCCAGATAGAAATCTCACTCTGCATGTTTGTGTGCAGTATTTGCACTATTTTGAAAGCCTGAGACATACAAACATTTCGTGAAAGAGGCAATATAAAATGTTTTATTCCTTACCATCTTCTTTAGTGCGGGTGAAAATTTGTTCGCTTCTCACTCCATCTCCAGCTCGTGTAAAAGCCAACACCTGAATGCTGTAGTTGGTGTATTTTTCCAGGCCATCAAGCTCTAGTGATGGCTGTGTAGTAGTGACATTCTTTATCTCTCCTAGCTCTGTAGAATAAAAAGGAAATTGAGTTATTGCCAAGTTCAGTCTTCTCCCAGTTATGGATACCTACTGTGGAATTCCTGGGGATTAAAGGGTCTATCCGAGAAGTAACGCTTCATTATTATAAAACAGCAATGAATTAGAAAATAAATTCCTTTGTGTCCTGACTTCTTACCATTCAAGCAGACCCAGTTTTCATTTTCAAACTTTTTTTTCCAATTTTTTTTAAAATACAGGGAAGAGAATTGAAAATTTCTACAAGTAATAAGATTTTTCATAAAGAATAGATAACAAGAAGAGATTATTGCAAAACATTCCCTAAAGCAAAAATGAGAAAGTCAGTTATCTTCATAAAGATTTTTTGGTTTTCAGAAAGACCATTTCTCACAAGCAAAACCAAGAAAAAGTCCCCTTATTTTGAAATATGGAGCAAGTGCTGCTGCAAAGCACTTGATGGCAGTAATAACAGCTAACAATAGATTTAAACACAGTAAAATCAGATTTACTTGCAGAAAGATGATGCACTTCACATGAATCTTTTTTGCAGCAAGCTAAGAGGTACAAACCATATGGCAAAAAAGCTTTAAACATATTTAGGGCAGAAAATAAAGCTGAACAAATGAAGGAATTCCAGTTTTAAGCACCGCATGAACACCATCTTTTTTCATCATGTTGTAGGACATCACGTAGCAGCTTAGACATGCACTGATAATATTCACATAGGGTCTGATCTAAAGACTACAGGCATCACTGAAAACATTTAATTTTATGTCTGTCATGTCTACATTTTTATATATGCTTCTCATACATTTTTAATCTTGATTTTTAAATGTACAAAGGAATTGGTGGTTTATTTCCAAATATTTTTTACTCTAACATTACCAGTATTAACAATGAGCCTCTGGGTTACACTTCCACTCCAAATTCCCCTTGCCACACTAAGAGAGGCCAGGGTTTGCAATACAGTTGCATATTAGAGTGAACTATGATCCTAATAGATGAAAGCAAAAGAAGGGAGACAGCTCATTGCCCTAGAGCTGTGAAAATTCTGCAGGGCAAATAGGAATAAAGGTATGTGTACCTCAATCCTACCAGTATTTAATTTAGAAGAAAGGACCTTACATAGAATGATCACCATGTGACAAATTACAGATTAGGAAGGTATCTCATTTCTGCTTTGATCATTTCACGCATTCTCTGTTCAGGAGTCTATTTCCATAGGAATGATGTTAAGAGCACAAAACATAAGCACAATGGAAGAGGCTGGCATGAAAATAACAAACCTTTTTCAAAAATATTTCCTTCTTTTGCCCTCAGCTATGGAGATGAAAAGCATCGTGTCAAAAAATAAGCAATATCCTCTCTAGTAGTCAACTAGTTAAGCAAACCGATAACCAACCAAACTAAAATAAAATACAGGTTTGGGGAGGTATGTTCTAGGTTCATACCATCATTCTTTACAAAAGAAACCTGCTGGACTTTGTAACTGAGATGAAATTTGCTCAGATCATTTTGTGTACTATGGTAGTCTATGGAGTGTTGCAGGGTCATGGTGGAAGCCTTCCCCAAGGGCCCTTCCAGGCAGCTTTCCAATGCAGCTACTCTGTTCGAGCTGTACGGAAAATGGCTTCCTTCACAGGGGCATGAAGCTTTCTCTAAACCAAAGGGAAAAGGATGTACAATGCCTTCACAGCAGAGAGTAAATGATATGAAGGCCACATATAGCTTGCTACTTGCCAATAGCTTGATTTCACTCACCTCCATCCAAGAGATTGGCCCAGTAGATAACCCTGAATCCTTGCAGAATCCCATTCAGGGTTTCTTTCGCCAATGTTGACCAAGAAATAGAGATGGTTTCTGGCGATGTGGCAGTGGCTTGCACGTTCCCTGGAGGGCAACTGGGCACTGGAATAAGATATTCACCATTTTTAACTCGATGAATACAACTCAATGTTTACCCTTCAGCTACCCTTTCAATTCTCATTGCTATCCCACCACCTGTTATTTAATTAGCAGTTACGGACTGTTAACAAAGCAAAACCTTTATTCTTGCTACAACCCACATGTTTCTGCAAGTGCAGCTGATCCCGGGAACGACTTCTGATGTCCTGCTTCCCCACTTGCTGACTAGTCTTTTAATAGCTTTTTTGTCACTTCTTTTGACAGATAAATATGTCACAGTGCTGAAATATGCAGAATATTCTGTAAGCAATTTAAATATAATTTTTTAAGTTTGCAGTCAAATTGCCATCGTTCTAACGTCCCTTTAAAATTGGTGATGGGGGAAAGTGGGTACTTCTTTAAAAAATACTGGAAAAAATGTTCATAAAATATTTTCACTGACATTTAGAAAAATTGAAAAAAGTCAGCCAAATCTAAGCCATTTTCTGTTGGCCATTTAGTGTCAAAGCAATACAGCAGTATCAGTATTTGGCATTATTTTTAAAGCTCATGACATCTTTAATTCTAGGAGGGATGAAAAGTAAACATGCTGGATTCTGAAGAAAAAAAATACTATTTATTATAATACAAAATATATATATGTGTGAGCATACTGCCTTCTGAGGTCCTGCAGTGATCCGTCTAGGCCTAGAAACATTTAGAGTAAATGAAAACCACCAGCATTCCATGAAGCATATGCCTCAAAATCTGCAGCTCTTGAGAATTTTACATGCGTGCTACTCCATTTCCCCCATGCGAAAAATCAGAATCCGAGCTGGCACTGTCTTCAGTACCCTGATGCCAACTTACAGGAGCTGAAAAATCTGACCTACGCTATCCTTTAGGATTATTATTTGCTTTTATACTCTAAAATATTGAGCCTCTTTTTGGATATGGAATCATTCTCTTTTTCCACTAGAGGACTCCCTCTCATTGTTTGAGAAGGACTTAGGCAGTTTGGAAAAAAAGAAAACCACTAAATTGTTTCTTGGATTAGACAGGTTGAATTTTGTCTGAAGTAATGATTTTTCTCTCATTATTTTGGGTATCCTTGAAAAAAACACACTTCTCTCTTTAGGTTGACAAGATAAGGGATGGTGCAGTACAAGAGCTCTAGGTTTCACAGCAGATTCCTTTGAAAACAAAAGATAGCCAACAAAATTATCAGCATCGCTTCTCCTTTCAGAGTTTTACTTCTAAGCATCTCAAAACTATGATGAGATCACTATGAAGCTATGATGACATCACAAAATTTGCAAATATGTGAACACCAGAGCAATAAGCTTCTTAATGAAAGCTATGGTCTTAGTTAGTATCATTCACAGCAGGATATATCACATTAGTAGAGTTATATTTATTTACCTGGATGATTCTGCATCTCTTGCAATGAACATTGTACTTGCTCACTGGCCAGACTCTTCCATCCAGCAGTCTACTGAACCTAACACCTGTAAACTCTGGTCTTCTATTATCCTCACTGTAATAATCACTAATCAAAAAATAAACATAACCAAGCAAAAAAAAAAAGAAAGAAATAATAATACGTCCCATCATAGCTGTTTGCCAAGGACCTACCATCCTCAAGAGTAGTGGTGATGATTTCCTGAGAAGAAGGTCCTATTCCAGCCCGGTTACACGCCTGGACCACCATGCCATACTGGGTGAATTTTTTCAGGTTATTCAGCGTATAAACTTCACTGTCCCCCGTGGTATCAATACTGATGATGTTGAATTGGAAATTTCCCCCTGCACTGTACTCCCGATAACCTATCTGGTATCCACGAATAATTCCATTTTGCAAGTGCTTCTTTGGAGCCTACACAGAAAATGAAAGAATACACATTAAGTAGTTGTCTCCAAAGTCAAGTTGTTCCCCTTAAAATTTTTGAAATATACACAAAGTCAACATTTTTTCCTACCAAATGCAAGTCTATTTCTAGGTAAAAATTCAAAAATACTCCCTGCACATGAAGTAGGAAATTTTTACCATGATATACACATTTGAGATGCAGTTTATTCTAATTTGTGCATTCCCGTGCTAAAAGAAAGACCTTAAAATGGTTCATACACAGAAAAATCTGATAAGGAGATACTCTTGAGTTATAATTTGAATTTATAATGTTCTGTTCTCTTATCAGGTGAATCAATCAAAGTTGAGTTGAGCAGGGTGTATTTGCATTACAGGCCCACTATTCACTACTAATTGTGTTTTTGCCAGAAGCCCCTACCATTCACTTGCTAAACCCTTAGTAAGGCATTTATTGATCTGTTGAAGGCAGTCACACAAGTTTATTCAGCTAGATGCATTAGGAAAATTTTACGCCGTGCTTTGAAATATGCTTCTGTTCATTCAGTGTGTAGCGTGGAAAGATGATTAGATAATGAGTGCTGAAGGCAATAATGAAATGGAAAGCAGGGATTTGCATACTGAATAGCTACTAAAACACGGTGTACAATATCTGGCATTCAAGAACACGGGCAGTACAAAACGGTTGGCCGTAATTATGTACCGTATTTCTCAGTCACAGTGCAAGATTCCCTGTACCTGACCAGTGGAAATCAGTTCTGTACTCTGCAACATAAAATGTAGTCTAGAGTAAAACAAGGACTGGTAACTCAGGGAAAAAGCTCATTATTGACAGAAATACCTATTAAAATTCCATGTAAATAGTACTGGACTAACTTCAACATGTGACAATGTTCCTGTCTGATTTTCTCCATATATGAGGTACAATTAGTATAAACATTTTAAGGCACAGTTTATGATCCATAGACAAATGTTCTTTCAAATCCTCCAAACCTCCTTCAAATTCCCACCAGATGCCCATGAGCTCATCCATTCCACTGACCCATAAAAACGTCTTTGTGACGCAGTTTATCGGCAATGAGTTAAACCGACAGAGGCAGCAATTTCTGTTTTTACTATATCCCATGAAATCTACTGAGGAACATATTCTCAGGAAAAATACTCTTTTCTGCCACAGGATCTGGGTGTTTCAGTGAGTTTATAGTCATGGACTGGACTATAGTCTGCTGGACTAAAGTCTCACTGGAGCTGATAAAACCAACGTGGGATTTACCTTTCATCCACTACCAACAAATCATTGCTCTGCAAAAGCCAGCACCTTCTCCATATTTAAATATATTTAAAATATATCACTGGATGGATCTGACTGATCGAATTCTCTCTTCAGACACTTTATTTTTTTTCTCCCTCCTGCCTTCAGAATCAAGAACAAAACTTGAAGCTAGGCTATAATTTCCACTGTACGACTTCAGTTCCTCTGGTACTAACGAGCTCCCTGCAAGCCCGGTGCTGTCCGTCCCCATGCAGATGGCCCAATTAGGAGATTTAGGTCTTGACCACCACACTGTAGGGATTAGAACTGTATTTTTGATATCTAGGAGTATAATTGTTTCCTGTTTGAATATTTCTGTGTTTCGTTGTCAAAATATCCCAACTTCTTTAGAAACGTGTAGGTCTTTTGTTATCACAACACTTTGTTTGCAAGTATGTTACCTATTTTGAACAACTCCACGGCCTTATGATCTTTAAATGATTGCAAAAGGTGGATTTTTAAGCTGGACTGTGGGGTGGAAACTAAGGTCAGATTATTTTTTTTTTGAGATTCAGGTATCTTCATAAGATAAAGTTGTTTCATTCCATCTGAGAAGAAAATAACGTTATCACATTTAAATAATTAAGTATTTCAGGGTGAATTGTATCATTAATTGAAAGATTTCAAATTCTGTTACTAGCCACAGCATTTTGCAGAGCTCATATAGTTTTATAACATTGTCAGTGTGGATGCGAAGGGGCAAAAAGACCGAACTAACATAATCTAAGCATTTCAAATTGGCTAAAGGACAAAGAGTTTGGACAAAGCAGTAGACAACTCCAACAAGTGTTATCACGGGGAGGATCGCTTTCAGACAACGTTGAAGGTCCCTGCCTCTTTTCTAAATGTGTATCAGTGTGGAGGCACCAGTTTAACCATGCCAGGACACCAGTTCTCTCCATCGGTGTTGGATTCCGTCACAGCTTGGCAAATCCTCAACAATCTACGTGGAGATTTCTTGTCTCAAACATCAACGTGCACGCTGCTGCACATCTCAACATCTAAAGTCTCTCCTAGTTAAAGGCTGCAACTGGAACATTCCCATGAGTTACCAGGGGTGGCTTTTGAGCAAAAGTTGTCGCCACAAACACACATTGCACATTGAAATCACAAGTAACATGCATAAAGCACATACACCACATAAAGCAGTGCATTCACTGTTTTGTGAATGGCATACGCTGCCTACTGCCACACAGAGCACGCATTAAGATGCTGTGTGTATGTACACGATATACCGTAAGGCATGCACTATATACCAAGAAAAAATGAGCATACACCTTGTACATAATAGATTACAGAAGCAGATAGGATGTATATTGAAACAGACATATCATACTGTAAACCAGATGGAACATAATGATAAAACTGAATCATACATTTACTATGCGTTGAAATGTTCTCAGAGTAGGATTACAGCCAGAATAGCTTCTTCACTGGGGATTTTGCAATTATATATTTTCTCGTTTTGAATTGGAATAAAATGGCAAATTTTGCATTTTTCATGAAACACCTTTATAATTGTTTTAGGTCAAGGGAATTTTTTTCTTTAAATAAAATAATAACATTTTACTCTTTTTTTTTTTTCACTTTGAAACATTATGCAATATAAAACAAGCACAAAGTCACTTCAGAACAAAGCATTGAAATGTTCTGCTCCACAAAATTTCAAATGTTCCTTGTTAGTACTACCTAAATGCTTCATTTTGGACTGAATTATTGCACAAGTAAATCATATTTGATATATATGCCTTCTTGTGTATAAACACATTTTTTGGTAGAAAATTCAGTGAGCCAACATTTGTCCACCACTAACTGTTTGTGGCAAAAAATATTGTTAACCTTGTGAGTAGTCACAGAACATTATGAAAAAGTAAGTTTCGGTCCATGATCCTACTGCTTATCTCACAAAATCCAATATCCGTAAAATAGGGTATCAATGAATTTTGTAAAGTATGATATTTTATAGTTGTGTTCATGTGTATAGGCACAAAGAGGAGAAAGAATACTTCCCATGCCTAAATTTAATGGATTCATTTACCTTGTAAAGTACTACACAAAAAAATAATGAATATTTCGCTTTTCTAAATTACAATTCCTGTTTAATTCCCATTCTCTCTGCACCATTTTAAACTACCAAAAAGTATTGAGTATTATTTAAAAATTCAGTCTGAAACCCAATGTTCTATCTGGACACATAGAAATGGAATTAAACAGATCACAGACCTATAAAACTTTGCTTAACTAGGATTTTCTAAAAGTGGGCTAAGAGAAACTTTAAAGGAAGATGAACGACTTAGCAAGCTGCAGAAACAGAACTTAATATAAGACGAAAGATAATTGATGTGTTATAACCTTTTGCTATTATTGACACTGTCTGTATTTAAATGAGGTTTGTGAACTTTAAATATCTATGGTTAGCATCACAATCCCTTTTGTATACTGTCATCATGGGTGTATACAAATACTGTCATCATGGGTGTTCACGGCAAATGCTCCACATGCCTCCAAAATAAAAGTGACCAGGTTATTACTGAATTTATTTTCTTCCTTTTTTGCCTCCATGACAATGTAGGACTGATCTCATGGGGTATTTCTTTATTCTTACGTACTTTGTGTTGCACAATGCAATGAGTGCCTTCTGCACAGCAGTGCATCGTGGGGACCTACCCAGAAATCAGGATTCAGCATGGGACCCAACTATATTATGTCTGTGGGACCATCTTAAAGTACCTTTTTGTGTAATGGACTAAAACTGCTCTGGCTGGGAGAGAACTGCAATAATTCAAGGGAAGGAAATGGTTTACTCCTGGTTTGGGACTTCTTAACAGTTGCTGCAAATTGTCATTCAGGAAATAATTTTTCTAGTACAGGTAGGACTACGCAAGCACGAACCTTTCAGGAAGGCAGCTCAGCGACTTCACCTTTGTCTGCAAAGGAGCTTCGAGGTCAAGGAAAATAATTAGGTTTCAACTACATCCAGCACCACAGAGAAATTTAGCACCCATCTGATGAGCTAATCTACCAGCAGATAGAGCAATGACTGCAAATCAAGGCAAAGAGTTTTCAAGCTGAGCACACAGGGGCTTGACAGCACAAAGATCACAATAAGCAGAATTACAGTGAAGTGCCAGTGGTGCCTTTTGCTGTCCAGCCTTTCATAGGTAGATCTCCAGAGCTTCTGCCACTTGCAAAGCAGCACCTCACAGGGTCTTGTGGTTTGCTGGGGCCATAGGCCACCTCTGGCTAGAGCCAGCAGCACCTTCCTAGCACTTTGCTACAGGACACTGCCACAGTGCCTCTCGTGCTGCTTGACCACATCAGATACTGCTGGTCAATAAGTTAAAAGATTTCACAGATTTAGCAGAGACTGGGTCTATAGGAATAATATCCTGAAGGTTCACAGAAGACTGGGTATTCATTGGAGACGTGGTGCACAGTCTGGCAGTGCAGTCCACAGCAAACTCCAAATGTCTAGCCAGCGTCTGCACGGTGCGTTGGCACCAGGTTCACGTGGTGGTGCACAGTTCTGGGAGCACGGACCTACCTTTCCTCATCTGGATATATGCTGCATGGGTACAGGCAGGCACTTCAAAGTCACAGGTAGCTCACACCTCAAGCTCACTCAAATTGTGAAAATCCATCTCTACACCTAGCTTACAAGACTTGCCAGGGCAATGGAGTATGTATTCAACATGTAGCTCATTTCTGTGATTATTTTGTTATGTGAGATACTGATCATTACTTGACAAGTATTCACAAATCAAATTCCAAACACGATCCTGAGAATACAGCTGCTCATTTGATGTGCTTCTACTCCCCAGACAACACACTGAGTTACACCTGAAGTGTCCTGGACACACAAACTGAACCATATTTTAGACACTGTTATTGAAATGTAGGTGTGGGAATTTTTTTTGTCCTGTAGCTGCCTGCACACATCTGCATCTATGAAATTTAATGGCAAATCTTCAGAATCACAAATGGCAGCTATAAACTCCAGCAGTGCCTCTCCTCCTGTGGCTTTTGAAAATATCCCCCCAAGTGAACTTTAAAGAAGCAAGCAAAGCCTTTCAATTTGCCTACCCATACATCCATTAAAACAAGTTCATGCATAGAAGCTTGGAGGTTATTGTTGACTAGATCTGATGGCAGTCATACTTCTTTAATGCTTTAAAAAGAAATAACCCATTAAGCATTTATTTCAGTTGTTAAGAATCACTTGTATGCTCTGCATTGCTTCAGTAGCTACTTCCACCAGGTAAGCCTGTGGCTAGCGACCACATGCCTTTCGTTTTTGAAACCATTTGATGAAAACCAACACTGATATAAATGTAAGACATGGACGAGACCCAAGCATCAGCACTGCCTTTGGGACCTGTGCAGAAGAGGTTTGATAAAGACTACTGCTTTTGGAGCTCAATACCAAAACATCTCATCGAAACAGAATTTTTAATGCACCATTTTGAAAACACCATTGAACTACTCAAAAAATCTTGGCAGCTGAGGTCCCTCTGTGCTAGCTGGACACCTCAGTAGTTATATGTCCACCTGCACTGTATGGACAGCATGCACGGTAGAAATCTGTCTTTTCAGGAACCGACTCAAAACTAACACAGGATTGTGCTGGTTATTTGTACAATAAATAACTATCTGCCCACGGTTATTTATATGGTTAATAAGCAGTAGTTCACTGCTACTATTCTGATTTTCTGGATAGTGCATATAACACGGCAAAAGCTACATCCTCCACATTTGCAGGAGTAATTAACATCACTGTAGTAATTAATTACTATTATTCCACCATCCCACTCCAGCACTTACTACATATTTCAGAATCTTAAATATATGGAATTATCAATACAATTTGGAAACTGCCATTCATATTGAGATTACACTACTGTAATTAGACAGCTTTATTCCGTCTGCTACAATGTACAAGCAGTATATATTACAAAACTGTTTAAAACATGGTTTAAGTACCTCTGGTATCATACCAAAAGCATTTAAAACATTCTGTCATTGTCAAAACATTGGGCAAAATCTAGAAAAAATTACATGAGTCACGAGACATGCCAGGTTTTTAAATACTATCAGTTGCTGATATTTTTAAATCAGTTGCTCCAATTCATCAATTCCCATGGACTATCTTGAGAAATTACACTGCTCTCTCCGTGCAGGCATGCCTACAGTAAGGCTCTGCCCCCAAGTCCATTGCAGTGGGAAAAAACACCCATTGGCTCCAATGCTTTGGGGAAATTTTGCCCAAAACCACAGTGAAATTCTGTGAGTGCTTATTTTCCAGCATTTAGCCTTATCTCTGAAATCAGAAGGAAGTAGGAAATGTTCTTGCCATCAGTACAGGCAAGCACCTGCTGCTATTACTCTCCAATGGAAGGTTCTTTCTTTGCATAGTCTACCACTCTTAATGGCAAATATTTTGTTGGCAAAGGCACCTGCAAGGTCTCTCTCAAATAAAACAACCGATTCACAGTTGTTACAATATTCTCCTCAACGGAACCTCTTTGAATGCACCAAAATACTGTCTGAATGGTATTTACCTTCCAGGTGACCCTAATGCTTTGTGAAGATATAGGCTCAAGTTGGACATCCTGAGGTGGACCATCAGGAGCTGGAAAGAGAGAAGAGAGATGCATCAAAACTGGCCCTCGCAGCCCACAGAATTCAGCACTTCATACAGCATGTCACATCTTAACACACCAACGTCACAGAGATTTGGACTGAGTCAATGTCATATGGAAAACCGAAGACACCACTTCATTAAACAAAACCAGAGTGTAGCATCTTTCTTATTCAGGCGTCATCTCTGGCCAATAGTGAAATACAACACATGCCAAAGCATAGCGATCTAGTAACTAAAATAAGAGTGAATAATAGCGACTTTTCTTGTTTAGTGATACTCTCACAATGCTGTTTCTGCTTTGTAAATAGGCAAGACCCATTTTCAGCGGTCAGACCCCTGTCGGTGATAGAAATACAGCAGAACCCATTTGAAAGCAGATGAGGCAGGAGCTCCCCATCCAGCCTTCATCATGTTGCACACTTTCCAGTGGGATCCCCTTTGTTCACTACAAACTGAGCACATTCAGTCAAATATCAAGTATTTTATACACAAAAACCTGCACACTTTACCTTCTCCCCCTCCCCAGTGTAAGTATTTCAGCCTGGAAATCAGACAAAAAAATAACTGCCAGATGGAAAAAGCATGCTGCAGCTCCTGCCTGAGTCAGGAGGAGTTTCATTTACTATCGATACGCTGCCAAGGGTGTGCATGATGCTTTAAAGGTGAATTCAAGAAGGTCCTGAGTCTAGGGGAACCTACTTGTCAGTTGGGCAGCTACAAAGCAGATCAAGAATTGGCTGGGATTGAACGGAGAGATGTGAAGTAAATTGCTTGCTCAGCGAGGTAAATCATTGTAAAAGAAAGATCTGAAGAAAGGAACGGAATCATCTTCAGCTGCCGTAGAGGGTTCCCTTGACGCAGAATATGGCCTCAGTAAAAGGTATTAAATTAAGTTTAATAGCACGACAGAGGAAGTAAAGCAATAAAAAGGGTGAGAAGGGGCTGTTAGAGGTGGAGCAGCAGCAAATGACAGCTCTGGTCAAAGGAACCAGAACATTTTGCTTTAACTGATTAAAGCAAAGAGACCCAGAATACAGCCTGTAATATGTTTAAATTATTAAATATACCCTATTCTGGGCCATTCTTGACTGTCCTCCATATGGGAAATTTCCAAAGGTTAAAAGAACTTTATTTCCATTCCTCTTGCATTAACGTACAGGAAGCAGAAGAGGAAAAAGTCCACTGGCAAAAATGAGTTCTCTACGAATGTTTTGAGGCCTGTCCTTGACTCTGTGCCCATGCTGACAAACACAAATGCCATTTCTCCAGGTACATTATAATGTGGTGGAATTTGAGTAAAGCATTTGATCCTAAAAATGGAGTTTAAAATGTGCTCCTTAAAATCTTGACTTTTCCTTGAAAGACCCCAAAAGTCTTTACAGACCTGAGTAGTTCACTGTTCCCAGCATACCACGGTGAAATGTTAACTAAGAAGTCATTTGTTTTCCATACTCAGTGTCATACAGAGTTTGTGGCAAAAACACAAAGAAAACCCAGATATCCCAGCTTCCTCGACTGATTTCAGTATTAACAGCCATAATGCTTTTTTTTTTTTTCTGATAAGCATTAGTGCAAGTGTGTACTTGCAGGTGTTTTTTTCCAACACAGGAACTAACTGTGGTTGTATGGAGGGAAAAAGGTGGCATGTAAGCTTTGAAATCATGCCGTGCTTGACTACCCTTTTGCCACACAGACCCATTATATTTTCTTTCCAATAGCTAATGCTGGGCGACTCGGGTCACTGTAATATGTGAGACACAATCTGCACCCCCGTGCCAATAGCATGGTTTGAGTCGTTCAGTTTTTGTATTGCCTTTCTTGGATCTTTGTTTTGCCCCCTTTTCATTACTTTGTCTCTCACACCCTGCACCCATGCCGTTCTCCATTTCCTATTTTAAAAGCAGAGAACAGAAGTAAACAGTGATCAAAAAATGATGCTTCTGTACATCACCCACCACCTGAAAACAAAACCCAGCGGACAAACATCACAAACTCTGCCTAAGCCTGACCTCCTCTCTTCCAATTGTTCCCTAGATAGATCAGTGACTTTTGAATACACTTCCACACTGCTGTTTTTTTCTCCAAACAGACGGTTGCTTAAAGGACAGCGACAAAAGGATCAATTATTCTGAAACTTGGTTACAAAGAACTGAATAAAACGTGATGTTAAGGTTCCACCCAGTTCATGGGGAAGCTGGTTTTTTTACTTCAAGGCCAGCTGCTGATCTTGGATCTTGACAACTTAATTATCAGTCAGGAAAAACTTGGCAAGTAAGAAATATTCCAAGCATGGGTGAATAAGAGAGAATGAGAGAGTAGATCCAAGACCCACCACTCTACTTTGATGTATGTGCACAAGGAAGGATGGGCATTTTGGGGATGACGGCTGGAAGAATGGATAGTCTGTTTTCTCTAGTGATTTCACATTTTACATGAAGAAAGAAAGATAAAAACCTTGATCAAATACAAATATTTTCCAAACAAACTATTCACCATTAATAAAGTTGTTCACTGAAGGCTTTCCTTCCACTAGGATGAAAAAAGACACCTGGTGAAGAAATGCATGCAGCTCACGTTGTCTTCTGCTTATTCTGCTTTGCACTGTGAGCTCTTCTGTTCTGTTCTTACTCAGAAAGTACCTCGGAGCCAAAAACATGTTCTCCTGACAAGGGGTATATTTTCACTGTAGTAAATTCACCCACAGAGAAAATGAGTGGGAATTACACAGCTGTATTCATATGAGCTGAACTGAAAATCAGTCACCGAGTGTTCAAAGCCTAGACCAACATGAAAAAGAAGTAGGGTTTTCACTGCCGGGACACCGTCACCCAGATACTTGCATTATGGTTTTCCTCTCAAAATCTCCAAAGAAGGAAACATTGCTGACTTAGCATAAGAGAACACAAAAAATAAAATTAGCAATATAAATATGTGCTTTCAAATACAAATGAACAAGCTCCTTTCTGGTCAAGACTTTTCAGAGTAACTTCACCCAGTTTCAGTGGGCTAAGGGTGTTGAACCTGCTTGGGTTACTCTCAACACCTTTGTACATTGTATATAATTGCAACGTATGCCTGGCAGAAGTATTTTGGGCCATTCAGTATTTTCATCCCTAATTGCTGAAAGAGAGAGCTGTAGCCCTCCGCTTTTCACCCGTAAGTTTTTTTCACTGACACATATAGGACTTGGGACGTGGTAGAATGCACAAGGCTGTGCTGTCGTTATCCATCTGCCACTTCTGCTAGCCCTGAGAAATAAAACTAAGACGGCACTGGAAGGTAGCAACTCGAGTACACAAAAGAGAGGCTCCAGCCCACAAAGTGAAAATGCCTTCATAGCCCTCCTGGTACAGAAACCTGTAACGGTGTAGAAGAATACATGGCAACAAAGAACAGGGGGATGACATTAACTGATGACAGCCAACTGACTTTTACAGTGATCAGAAAACTAATTGGTGGGTGGGCTGGGGGATGGAATAGTCAAAGGAAGAGTTGATCAACGTTCCCAAATGGGGGTAGCTTGAATTAGTTACCCACACTAACCTCTGAGCGTCTAAGGAAAGCCACAAGACCCACAGGGGAGGAACTACCACTAAAAACAGTATGTTGTTGATCGAATTGCCTAAGTGTATATATAGGTGTGCCGTTTCCAGTACTCCAGGCTGAAAATTTGGAGCACAATGTCTTCTTTGACCACTAGATGCCACTGAACGGCTTTAATTACAGGCCTGCACGATGAAGTTGCAAAAGTCACAATGTTTTATGGGAACAATTCAGTATTTCTTTCGATGCAGCTGCAGCAACATCAGCAGCATTTCAAGTAAAGATTCCTCATGTCCAAGACCAATAATTCCCAGCATGATTTAGATGCGACAAAACCAGAGCGTACCTGCTTCATCGGTAGTGATGGTGAGCTCATTGCTGGCCTCGCTCTTGCCGATGCGATTCTTGGCATACATGCGGATATTGTAAGTTGAGGAAGGGTGGAGGTCAATGATAGTGGCTTGGTTTAGCTGAGGGGAAACATCTTTGGTTCTCTGAACAGAATCCCAAGAGTCTATTTAATAACAGGTTAAAAGAAAACAGAGAAATAAAAGACAATGTTAACGTCGCTAACACAAGCACGCAGTTAAACCGTCGCCATTGCTGAATTAACCCAGAAAATGCCCACTGGTGCAAGCAAATCAAGTGATCGCCTTCCTTGACAGCACTCCCGCCTGCTCCAAGGGTTGCGCTGTGAACAACGGGATCTCAGCCCCAGGGTCATCAGCAAATGCGAGGAAATACCTACTCTCTTGCCTTTTTTTGAGGGGGTGGTGAGAGCAGCAAAGCTTCCCCAGTTGTCTGTGTGAGTGTGCACATACTGGGTTTTTACCATTGCTACTTTGGAACAACCGTGACAAAGATGGGAGCTGCTGCCCCGAAGGGATCCTCACGCAGCGAGAAGGTGGGTCGTGCTCCAAAAGCGGGGGTAAAGGAGTTAATAAACAGGAATGGAGGGCACTTAGAGATCAGGCAGAAATTTTGATCCCAAGCTCCATGAGCTCAGACCATAGGTGAACAGCGAGCATGAGCATGGAGTACTTAGACCTGGGGCTCAGCACCCTCCAGGACCGATGCTATTTCCCTGACTCATGTCAGGATGCAGGTGCAGTTTAATACAAGGGCAATGCAGAACCCTCTTAGCTGTTCGCATACATCTGTAAAAGGAGGAGCACATTGTTATTAATCATGTTTACTATTCATCTGCTGGTTATGTTTTTAATAGATTCTCCAGACATATAACAGGAAAAAGGATGGAAATTGGCTAAACACAGTAACTCCTCCTTTTCATCCAAGAATTCAATTGCTGCAAACAAAATAAAATATATCCGTTTAAAGCATCTTGATGTCTTTTACGCGTTGCCATCCTTCATTTCTTTCTTACTGCAGGCGATGTTCCTCCTTTAACCTCTGCAGCATCCTACGGGGGATGTCACTGGAGGCTCTACAGGAGTGTTTTCCAGTGTGGGTCACTGCAGGCAGGATCGCAGAAAGCTCAGCAGATAAGAAAGACTAGTTTAAAAATACAAAGCTCACTCAGATACAAAATATTTGCACATACTGTGGAAATTCTTTCATATGAGCTTGCTAAAAACCGCACAAGTTGTCAAAATGACATCTGCAGCTTGGCTGGTTACAGGGCCTGTTTGCTTGTCCGTATGGCTTCGTTTATCCACAAAACATTTAGGAATCAGACATTTAAGTGCTGACCAAATGCACTTGGAAATATTTTTCCTTGGTAACTGAGTTTGTCACGGCTTTCTCTGTCGGATGCTTTCAGAAGCTCTGAAGGAGTTACCTGCAGGCAGCGCCGCTACAGCTTGCTTTCGGCTTGCTACGACTTCACAGAATTTCTTAAACTTTACAGAATTTTAACCAGCAGTTGCACGCCATTGTGTTAAATGTTATACAAGCACAGAAGGAGATTCTGTCTGTTGTAATGTGCCACGCCAACAGGAAAGGAATTTAAGAAAAAGAGCTGCTTGGTATGGAGAACGTGTTAAATTTCCTTTGAGGACGATGAGAATTTCTTTTCATATAGTCTCTATATTATCAAATTGCTTAAGTTTTCACTTGGTTGTTTGAAATACTGACCTCTCAGTGGTAAGACTCCGTAGTACATACTAGCCTCTAAAATTAAATAAACAAATTGGAAAAATTCTGGTAATTCTTAGTAGATGAATGCCACACCACAGAGAAAGAGAGATATGAAAACTCAGTCTTCTGTACTTGTAAATGTAGGTTTCCAGTGTTTATTTACGACCCATGTATGGACTTCAGGAGTATGTTTTGACACGTGTATCTCCCTTTTGAAGGATAAAATAAACCTACAAAAGCAATCCCTCCAAACTGAGTCAGTCCAGAGAGAAATCAATCAATTTCTCTCTAAAACTGTTTTTAGTTTTGAAAAATTTAAGTGTTAATAAGAAAAAAGAAAAAAGAAAAAGTTAATTTCCCTTTCTTCCAGCAAACCCTAAAAATAATGTCCACGTCCACGTGGTAAGTAATTGAGTGAGGTATTAAGGTGGTTTATTGGCTCTTCTGGTTTTTATTGTTCCAGAGAGCTCTAAAATCTACTCACCTAGAAAGACTGAAAAAGTACAGACAACAAGCAGCAATGGGCTAGCAAAAAAAAAAAAAAAGCTAAAAAAAGAGCAGAATTTTTAATGTATTCTTTATCCCACTCATAAAATGCTACAGCCAGGCATTTCCCAGTGTTATACAAAACGCAGGCTGACACACCGATCTATGAAAAATGTGTGAGTGTATGAAGACCGCCCGCTGCCAACCTGAAGAGG